ATATTTATATTTAATTAATAATTCTTATTATTTATAACTTTACACAATTTAATTTAAAAATGCAAATAAACTGAACAATGCGTGTCCAAAAAGTTTAGCTATTTTTATTTATTGGATTTTTTTACATCTTAACTTTCAAGTATAAATAATTTCATTCAATTCTTTAAAATATCACAAGAGAGTGTTATTTTAACAAGCTCTTTATCTGTAATATTAATCATGCCAAGAAACAAACAATGATTCATTGACAATGATGTGGTTTACATTTGGAGAAGGAAAGTAGAAGTTACTAGTGTTAATCAAATTGCCAAAGAAATTCATAAGTCTGCCTCAGGAACATATACAATTATTGAAAAAGGTGAAAATTGAAAACCTAAACAAATATCTGGAAGACCAAAAGTGACTATTAAATGTGATGAAAGAAGAATTTTAAAGCTTGCTTCAAATCCTACATCTGTTTGAAAAATTGCAGTACATTTGAATCAAAGTAAAAGCACCATTCATGATATATTAAAATCATCACCAATAAGAATGGTCAATCAACCTCCCTTGAAACCATAACACATTGAGACAAAGTTATACAGGTATACCTCGACTTACGTCGTTTCGAGTTACGTCGTTCCCGATTATACGTCGTTTATCAAAAAAGTATACGAAAAAATAAAAATCAAGTTTAAGTCATTTTATTCGACTTTACGTCCGTCCGCCACAAATATTGAAGTCGTAATATCACTAGAAAAGCGTTTAAAGCACATAAAATCATATTAAAATATACACATTTACAAGTATGTACTGTATTTACAGTACAGTACATGCATTCGTAAATTTAGATTACTTTTTTTGTACGCTATTAAAAACTAAAATTTATTTTTTGTAAGCTTAAAATAGCTTCTTATTAACCATATATTATTAAAAATGCATTAATAAATAAAATACAGAACTGGGAATAGTAATTTGTGGTTTAGCCTAATGTCAAGTAGATTGGGAGACAAGTAAGTTCGACTTACGTCGTTTTTCGACTTAAGTCGTTTTCCTGGAACCAATTACCGACGTAAGGCGAGGTATACCTGTATTGGGCAAGAAAACACATGTTGTGGAAAAAACAAGGAAAGTGTATAAATGTTTAGTGATGGAAAAAAGTGAAATTTAGATGGCCCTGTTGCTAACTAGAAGCCCAGACCTGAATCATACTGAAAATCTTTGGAGAATTATATCTATCCTGGTATATGCCAATTGCAAGCAGTATTTGACCATAAGTGACTTAAAATCTGAAACCAATAAAAATCTTATTTTAACAATGGAAAATAAGTTTTTGAGTGAATTTTGTGTAAAGGAAAGTTAATTAAATGTTAAACATAAAATGTATTAATTATTTTCAATAAATATTATTGTTTTGTAAAATTACCTAAATTTTTTTACACAAACTGTTTCAATTTTTTGAACAAATTATTGTTTAAAGTTCTAAATAATAAGAATTATTAATTGATGTATTAAAAACAATTACATTAAATAAAAATAACAATATTTAAATTTTAAATAAAATTTTTCACAAAAAAACTAAATTACCTAAACTTTTTGGACAGACCTTTATATTTATAATAAAATAAAAGTATTCTTCTAAAAAGAAAAACATAAAAATAGCAATACTTTAAATATATTTACCGTGGAAGGTTGCATGACAGATCTTTGAAGCAAGTATTTATTATTAGCAGAGGAAGACAAATGGCTTCTAATTAGTGGAGAAGACATAAATGAAGTGTCTCCAGATACCCGTCCAATGTTAGATTTTGCTGTGTTAACAGCTGTTCCAATTAAATTCTCTTTCATAATTTGACTTTGATGAAGTTTCTTTAATAAAACAAGTTTCATTTCTTCATCTCTCAATACATGTTTCAATCTTGCTATCTTCTTCTCTCTCTCTCTCCATTCCTCCTCTGTTAATTCTTTTAACTGAGGTGAAACTGGTAGGGTCATGTCAGATTCTGGAGTATCAGCTCGAGAATTATTTTCTACACCATTAACATGACCATTAGTCATGTTGTCCTCTTCATCAGTTAAAACAATTACATCAGGAGATTTAATATGAGGAGGTTCAACAAAAGTTGTAGGCCTATAAAACTGATGTTGAAATGGATGTAAAGGAAATTTATTTCTATGCTGCTGCAATTCTATTCTTTTCCTTTTTCTACTTTCCACTGTTTGTAAATTACATATTCCTATACTTGGAGAGTCTAATATTTTTGTAAGATTATAGTTTGTTTCTATTGGATTTTTAAAACTCAAATCAACACTATCAATATCTTGCACAGCATTATTTTCTATTTCAAGATTTGGCTTCTTCTTCCTAAAAAAAATCAATGTAGAAAAACATTTTAATTAATTATAGATTTTTATGTTTACAAATATAAATCTGGTTTAACAACAATTGATGATTTTATTGTTAGAAATCATTAACTGTAATTATTTCAAAAGTAAATTATATTTACTTTGAAATAATTCAAACTGATTCAGATCTAGAATCAAAAATTAATACACAAATCATTTCATAAAAATATTGAACCTCAAAAATTTAAAGTTGTTGCTTTTAAAATTTAGCATGAAAATAAATCATTTTGGTTTAAAAATTATTTTGATCATATTAAATTTATTCATTATAAGTTTAAAACATGTATTTGTTTAAATTCTAAAAATTTTTTTGTATACTTCTATAATCACATATTTATGCAAAATATCTAAATGTAAATAAAATTTGGTTTATTTTTAGGAGCTATTACTTTTTTTAATTTAGCTTTTAACATATAAAGTTTTTCAACTTAAAGCCAAACCATGTTTATTATATTAATAAATTTCAGCATTGCACAGAAAAAAAAATTTATGAAGTACTGTACAGTAATACATGCATTAAAATGTTCTCACAGATAAAAAAACTATATAATCTGATAATGATTTAAAGTCCTTAAAGTTAAAGTATGTCTTTTTTTCTTCTATAATGAAAATTTTTAAGTATTTAAAATACAATTTAATACGAGCAATTATTTATTGTGACATCATCACAATGCCGGGCTGCAATTTTTAATCATATTTTTAATTTATTTAATTTAAAATATGCACTCTCCACCTCAAATTAGTACTGTATTGTCTTGCCTCTGTACATCATACTTTTAACAATAGAAGTGTGCCAGTCATCTATTAACTGCTTTCAGGAGAAAGTTTTGAATTGAAATAACATTACTTCCAGTTTGCATCAAAGTTTATATATAGTTAATCAGCCCTAAGGTTTCCCTACCTGGTCTCAGATTTCATCTATCTAACCTTAATCTTGAGATTAAGGAAAGAAAGACAGATGGACGACAGTAGGAATTTATAGGTCTACAATTTTTTCAAATTGCAAACAAATTATAGAAGAAAAGGATCAACCCGAAGCAGGAAAAATTCAATTTCTGCTACTCAAGCAGATGCACTACTAGTTATGCTCTGTGTATTCTTCACTTCCAAACCATTATTTCGGCCATATTATAGGTCAAAAATGATACATCTCCTTATCTTTAATAATATATAATAATTAAAAAATCATTAACTACTAATTAAATAATGAAAGATTAAGCAACAACACTTTATTGGACCACCCTATCTATAACCATTTCTGTGAAATTAAAAAGGCAAGTGACTTGTTTTTTTTCTTCTTCCAGAATATTCTAAATTAGAACTTTAATGCATCATATTTTTAAAAGTCTGACATTCTCACATAAATAAGTATGTGATGTATACATTGTCATTTAAATTTTATTTTTAAAAAATTTTAAATGTGTAAATTCAAAATAACAAACTATGGGATTTACTTAAAATTATTTTCACTGTTTATTTCCATCCCTTGTTAAGGTAAAAAAATTAAAATTTTAAAATGTTTACATCAAGACCAAACCTTTCCCACTCATGTTATTTATGTTATAAAACAAATTTTGATCTTACATATCTACTCATGTAACTCAAAGTACTTTTAGTATTTTATAAGTGTCTCTCTTAAAAACCGACAAAAATCCTGATTCCTACAAGAAATATTAGTTGTTTTCATCATAATAACATTAGAGTATGATTCTTAAATATATAATCCAGTAATGAATATCTTTAACTTCAATCGCTCATAATATTCTTTCTTCTTGGACTCCCCTATTATTTTTTCAATAATAAATCAACTGTCAATTAACATTTCATATTTTTAAAGATGTTAGAACAAAACATTAATATCTGTTTTATTTGATTTTCTATGTAAAACAACATCTAAATTATTTATTTATTTATTTTTGTCAAATTCTAATTCAGATTTAACGTGAATATTTTTACTACAGCTATTAAAGACATTTAATAAATTGATACAATGACTAGTATGATATTAGTGCCAAATGATTGCAGGATTACATTGGGCTATATTAATGCTACTAATTACTAATTTTAAATATCAAATCATTTGACCTAGAGGTAGGATTTAGGTAATATATATTTCAAAAATTAATTTAGAAGGTTCTGGAAGAAAAGAATCAGCTCAAAGTCAGATTTGAACAGCATGGCAAGCATGAGTTGCAAGCTCAAATCCCACTTTGGGCTGATTCTTTTCATCCAGAATCTTCTAAATGAATTAAAATATTAATTATTAAATTTATCAAGAGATGGCATCTAAAACGTACCTCTAGGCCAAATGATTTAACATTTAATTATTAATTAGTAGCACTAATATAGCCCGATGTAATGCGGGAATTGTTTGGCATTAATCTAAGAATACAGTTTATGAATGTTTATAGCATGTATTTGGTTGATAACAACAACAACATTGCATAAATGTAAATGTTACATAATCAACACACCTTATTTGCTCAGTAATAAGGTGTGTTGATTTTGTAATGTTGAAGATTCTGAGTGTGAATAGGAGAATAAATATAAACACCAGGGTATACCAAATTTAATGAAATAATGTAACAAATAATCAAAATGTAATAAAATTTGAAGAAAAAGTTTAAAATTAATAAAAGTAACTAAGTTTTATTATGAATTCTAAAAATTAAAAAAAAAAAATTTTTTTTAATTAATTAAGTACTATAGTTTCAGCACCTTTATATGTAAGATTAATTTGTAAGTTTATATATTATTTGATTCATATAGTGAATTACTTATGTTACCAAAAAAAAATTTGGGGGTTTTTTTCTGTATGTATGAATGTTAATGTGTGGGGCGCGATTTGTTCTCTCTTTGAAGCTTAATGCATGCTTTTTGTCGAAAATTTCTGAAATTTTGCAGGAAGGTTTGCGTATTAGGGAGATTAATGCTACTAAATTTCGGTGATTATCTCCCCCACCCTGTTGACTTTTGAAGGGATATGACACTACTTGAGATATGACACAAACCATGTCATATCTCAAGTAGGGTCAGACTTAAGATTTTACCAGATATTGGCATTTACAAATTTTTATAAAACCTATCCCTACCCTCAAAATTAAGCTTTTTTGCCATTTTATAACAATTAAAATTATAAAAAGGTTTTCACATATAACACATGATGTTTTAAATGTTGCCGGGAAAGTTAAGCAACTTGCTGGATTTTTTGAAGTATATGACTTAATTTTACATTGTTTTACATTTCTTTTTATATATTGTTCAAATGTATTATACATATATGAAATTTCTTTGTTAAGAATTAGGCTACACATACAAATTCAACTGTTTTATGTTTTCAACAGTTTCAACTATCATCATCATCATCATAATGATGATCATGAAAAATAAAAATCATACTTTTATAAATTTTGTGTATGTGTACATCTGCAGTACATGTTATTCATCAATGGTAAAAGATACACTTCATATAGTGTGTGTATAGTATATATCTCAAATAGTAGCCTTGGCTACTATTTGAGATATATACATAGTAGCCTTGGCTACTATTTGAGAGTCGTTATATGAATAAAAGTCAAGGATTTAGGAAACAATATAAAATTAATAAATACACACTATAGATACTATCTTTATTTAACAAACTAATAGAAAATGAAAAATGTAAAATGTCCTATATACAATAGATGCATGGCATCTGCATAAAATTTTCCAGGAAGGGCAGTTTGGAAACAAATAATTACATCAATAAATTTTTATTTAATTTTTTTTTCATAAGTAGATTATAAAATACAGTATTGCATAAAAGTATCCCATGGTCAAGGATGTAAGATTACATACCTCAAATCACTTTTACAATTATGATTTGTGGAATATTTCACTCTATCCCAGAAAGGGCAAGTTCCCATTTGACCCCCTCTGTATATACATGTATTCACAAACCCATGAATAGATGTTTTTTTAATTATTTTCTTATTACTGGTATATATAAAGTAACATTTATTATGAAGATACCAGTTGACATTTCAGGTATTTTCTTAAAAAAAATCACTAGCCTTTCATAAATATTATTAATATTTAAATACCTGTTATCCATTATTAATAAAGTATGTGCAAAGGGGAAATAACAATACCAATGCCCCTGAATAAGAACCACAGAAAACATTCAGTTTAAAATTATTCAAATAAAACCAATCTTATAATATAATCGAGATGGGTTGATAATAAGTGCAGAGCCCAAATGGTTAGGAGTTGAAAGCTGAAATTTGGTACAGAGTGTGCATTAGCACAATGTACTCTAAAAATCTTAAGGATTACCCTGAAGAACTGCTTCTTCTGTACTATTTTAGACATAGTTTTTTGTGGGAAATCAAACATATTTTTAGACCCATCTAAAAATTCTCTAATTAGTTTCAGAAGGGGATCTAATTCTTGCACCCGGTGATAACGGATAAAATCGGCTGTAATCTAATAATCTTAATCTTTGCTATCATTACTTTTTGTCCAAGCAACGCCAGGCTCATCTGCTAGTATATAAAATAAAATCCACACAAATAATTATGTAATAAACATAAACTATACTAAAAACTAAGTTATTTTTTAAAAAATCTTTAAAAAATTAAATAAATGCTTAATAGTTAACATGTTAAATAAAATATAAAAGCCATACTAATGAGATAGTGTTAATCAAGATATTAGTATACTTCATTTATATTCAATACACTAATTTAAAAAGGTTTAGTCTAAATAACTTAGGTTTTCAGTTTTTACATAATTATTTATAGATATACATAAAATAGAAGTTATAAAACTCAAATTTATGAAGACTAATTATAATTAAAAAATCTTATTAAATGGTTTTAATAAACCTGCTACTTACTTCAAAGAAAGATCAGTAACTACTTCTTCCATTTTTTATATTTGGTTAATAAGAAAATCTTTTTAGTCTAATAAAAGAAAAAAATAAACATTATAATTAATAAACTAATATTTGAAGTTTAATTTAAATTATGTGTGTGTATGTATATATATATAACATAGTTAATAATTAGCTGAGAACTCTCTCATATCTATTAATGATTTTTTTAATAAATTGAGAGACAGTGAAAAAACAACATATCCTTCAAAATTATAAAAAATGAGTTATTAATATTTGGATTTGTGCATCAATACATGTCTTCTAAAATACTTTCACAGTTCAGTTGCATGCCTCATGGGTTGTATACACACACTACTAAAATGTTGAATGTTAAAAATGCTGGTGAATTAAAGCACAAATCCTTTCTCTTGAAAACTTCCTAATGTGGAATATTCCATTTTTCCACCAAGCTTCTCAATTGTATAAGAAATTCTGATTATTCTTGCTTCTCATTTGTTTTCATAAATTATCAAAGAATGAATGATCACACCATTTCCAATCTTAACAAGGATGATAATAAGGGTTTAAACCGTACAGGCAAACATATACAAATTGATTACTAATGGGGATTAAAGGCTTTATACAGAGAAATTGCTACTCAGAGTGTGTTCAACAACATATGAACTGATGGGTTATGCCTATAAGTTATTAAGAAATGGCAAAGATGCCATTAATGCCTACAACACACCAGGGGCTTATAGTATACCTGTGAGAGATGACAGATTTCACAGAGATCTGGTGTACATTGGTTAAACCAAGATATCCCTTAAAAACAGCTGGCAGAGCATAAGTATGATATTCAAAACAAAAAGCAGACCACTATCCTAGCAATATACGCTTCTAACACTAACATAGAATTGGTTACGTAATTTATTTAGTAATTAGCCTTAAACTAGCCCGAGAGATTTTCAGCATTCTGTTGGTGTGTAGCTTTATTGTATATCGGGTTTAGAGATGTTTGTAAATAAAGGATTGTTTCGACAATGATTTTTCTTATTGTAAAATTCAGCCAATTTTTTAAATTTAGTTAATCACCTAAATATAAGTAGTTCAATTTCATGCAAATAACCGACAGGTTTTGTATGTTTAGAACATTTACATAAGTTATGAAATGACAATTTAAAATTGCAATCACAAACTCAAACAGCTTTTCCTTCTTTAAGTGCATTGTTAGAAAATGTAAAAAAATCCTTTTATGTCACAGTTATAATCTATCATCATGAATTGAGACAGACATACATTTCACCTTTAATTTATGAAGAAAATGAACAAGAGTGAATTAAAGTGCTAATTGAACACTATTATTATTGGACACTCCTGTTTGAATTTGTATCTTGAAAGCTAATAAACTTCCAATAATTAACTGTTATTTACGAGGGTCATCCCAGAAGTACCCGACCTGACATAGATGGCAGTACTTGTTTGAAAAAAAAAAACAACTATGTTTGAAAGTATCAACCTTATAAGGCTTAAGTTTGAAGTTTGAAGACGTTAAGTTGTATAGTATTTTTTTGGCAGCCATAAATAGTGAACAATCTTAGTGAATTTGTAAACATGGAAAAAATTTGTCATCGTTGTGTGATACAATACTTTCATTTGAAAGGTTTCAGTCCAACCAATATTAAAGCTGAGCTAGATTCTACTCTGGGGGAGTCTGCTCTCTCGTTTACAACAATAAAATATTGGGTGGCAGAGTTTAAACAAGGCCGTATGAGCTGCCAAGACAAACATCGTAGTGGTCGACCAAGTGAGGTGACCATGCCAGAAATGGTGGAAAAATCCACAAAATGGTATTGGATGACAGTCAACTCAAAATGCAAGAGCTAGCAGACATGGTAGGCATTTCAAAAAGTGCTGTACATCGNAATTGATAATTGAGCATGGGCCTTCATCTATTAAAAGTTAAAATAGATAAAATTAACAGTGACATCTGGCTGCATCATATGTTGTCACCACTTGTGCTCCAGATGTGTAAGGTAACACACCTCCTTTGTAACCGCTCCCTGCATCTTGTAAAAATGTCTGAACCTGCAACTCTGTTGTTCTACTGTTTTTGGTATGTACTTAATTTAAACTGACTGTATAATATTAGTTCATAACTGTTAACCAATATTTCGGCTAACTTATAACTATTTTTGTATCAGCACCCTGTTCATCATGTTACCATGCAACGTTAGGAAGAAACATTACTCCTGTCAACATTGATATGCTTACTGCTCGTACAGTCATGTCGACGGTTTCATCTTTATATTGTATAGCTTTAGGCATATTTTTTAGTTTAATTTTAAATTTAATATTTTTTCACCTTGTATAATTTTAAGTATACTTAGACCGGTCGCTATTACCAACTGATGAGGGACTATTTTCCATTGGAAAATAGTCCGAAATGCATTTTGGATTTTTACGGTTTTTATACTTTGTAATTATCTTATTGTACAACCCTATCTGTTCTATTAAATTTTTTACTTTGATTTTTGAGCGTTTGTGCTCTTTGTCATTGGTGTGATAAGCCCTTCCTATTATCTACCTTATGGTTATAGATATTTTAATTAATTTAAAGATATTTATCTTAATTATGAAAATATAATAGCATGTTTTTTTAATTTTTGGAACCTAACCCCCCTTTTCATACTAGTTCTTTGTTTTGTATAACAAGGCAATTTTTTGGAACATAACTCCCGTGTTATACAGGGGTTACCTGTACTTGAAACAGCTATGTCTATGATGGATGTAATTTTCTTTTGGATGTCAATGAATATAATATCTGGTCTGTTGTGACAGATTTTAGTATTATGTTTGCTTAACTAGACATAACAACAGTAGTCAGTTTATGCTAAAAACTAATAACCCGAGCCCTGCTGTAAAAACTAAAATCCTTTTTTACAAGTTTTATAAGTTACAATTACAAATTATAAGCAAAATGTGTTGATTAAAAACCTGCACATGTAGTGAAAAATGTGCTTGCTGTGTAAATGCCATTCATTGTTTTCAGAGTAAGAGATGACTCAGGCATACATCTCTTACTTTATGCTCATGTATTTTCAGTGCTTTTTTCACTTTATTTTTGGTTTGTTTGGTTTTATATTATATAGAAGAAGAGTGTAGAAGCAATGAAGCCTAAGAGGAAGGATATAGTAGTGACAATTGAGGTGAAAAAGGAACTTACTGTGAAACAAGAAAGGTGTAGATCTGGCAGCCATGTTTAAGATGCTTAAGTTGATATCCTTAAGAACAAGGAAGCAACAAAGCAGCAAATGTGGCTAAAGATTTAACAATTTTAGCTTATAGATTTTAGATCATATGTTATTGAGATGGAAAAAGTTTCTAGTGTAGAATAAATGAAAAGCAACTGGCTGGTGATATCTCCACAAGAGAATTATTTGTGAAAAAGCCAAGCAGCTGCATAGTGAATTTAAGAAATGGGACATCATCACTACTCATTAAGATACAGTAAATACAATTTGCATTTATTTATTGTTTATGTTTTAGTTTATTATCTAGGATATTTGACTGTACTGTAAGGTCTCGTTTTATGCGGATTTTTTTTATGCGATTTTGAAGTTGTGCAGTTTGTATTTCATCCAAAATTTTTTTGGACAAACATACATATAGGCTTGTTTAGGAAGCCCGCATATAGACAGTCTCCAAAAATCGTGGGATGCTCAAAGCTCACTCCATTTGTTCCACTGACATATAACCTTTATGGATGTAAAGGACAGCTAGATCTACCTTAATCGCTTTAGTTCCTAGCAATTTTTGATATAAATGTAATTAAACATAAAAAATACTTAAAACTGAAAAAAACGAAAGAAATGCGTTAATTTTGAAGAAAAAGCTTCAAAGTTTAACTTCCTTTGTCTTGCCCTTCTGTGAAATTTAACACCGATGAGTCAGTTTATACATCTGGATGACCTTGAACACAGCTGGAGTTGGATTTCCCGGGGCATTCTCATAAACGTCGCGGGAGGACAAGGGTTTAAAGTAGGGTGAAGCTGGCCGTATATTTTTTAATATTTTTAAAAAATTTGGAGACTTAAAAAACATTCCAAAAATTCAAAAAAAAAATAAAAAACTATATTACTTTTCAATAAAATTAACTGAATTAAGTTTGAATACAAGTTTATTTTAAGCTTTTATATGAATTTCTTTCAGACATTCGAAGTAATTTATTAAGCAGCCTATTTCTTTTAATTTCTGCAAACTTTTTTATGCGGTTTTAAGTTAATTTTAATTCGTTGTTTTGGTTTTATGCGATTTTAGAAAATTACGGAACGTATCCCTACTTTTTCAAGGCAAGTAAAGTCTTTTTTTATGCGAATTTTTTTTATGCGCTTTTCTGTAGAATGTATCCACCGCATAAAACGAGACCTTACAGTATTAATTTTACCTTGAATTAGGTGTAATTTCTGTTGATTGAAATAGGTATTGTTTAGGACATCTTTTTTCAAAGTGGGCGATAACACCCCTTGTGGGCACTGGAGGCTTTCAGGAGGGGCAGCAGAAGGCTCAGTGATTAAATATGAGTTTTATTTCTTCTCATTGAAACATTCTTTGATCTCAGAAATAGGATATGGGTTACGCCCATCTATCCTATCCATATAATAATAATAATAATGGAGGAGGAGGAGGGGCTGTCTGCTTTTGCAAACTTAGCCCACTAGGAAGAGAAAGGGGTGGAGAAAAGGTTGAAGGAGGGGTTCTGAAGGGAGAAGTATAAAGGAAAAGGGGGAAAAGTAAGGGTGAAAAAAAGTTCTTAGGACCTCAGAGCACTGCATCAGAAATTATTAATAACCAAAATTATAAAAGTTGACAAGACCGTTATAAAATATTAACAATTACAAGAAATGGTCTGGTTACAGTAAAATGCAAAACCCATCACATATGGGTAGGTAGAAAATAACCTTGAACACTGCAATGTTACATTACTGTAATGTTAAGAACTTATCCATATAATAATGCATGTTTAAACATTATATTTGCAATAACTGTTTTTAAGATACACAACAGATGGTAATGTAAAAATGTAAGTTAAAAAATATGGGGGCACTAGATTTTTTTTAAATCTCAAATTGAGCAGTGGTTGAAGTAAGTTTGAGAACCTATGGTTTAGGACCTGGAAACAGATTAATTCACATTCCATTATTTCTAACAAGGAAAACTGTTTCAGACTTCAAACAATTTAAAGTTTGAATGGCCTTCTAAAACAAATTAAATTTGAAGTACAAGGCACCACTGTAATACAGAGTTGACACTGAATAACTTAACTCTTTAAACACGAAATTGACCAAAATCAGCCTTATCCATTAATGAATCAATGATTAATTAAAAAAATGAAATCAGCCAAATGAAAAGTTGTTAGACTAGTTTTGCTATACAAGTTCCGTTTCTTTGTAGCCTGAGGGATAAAAACAATTTAGTCATTAGCAACAGAGATGGAATTAGTTTTCAAAGCTTAAAGAGTTAAATTTATTTGTCCTGGCAACTTTTTATGAAATGCATTTATTTTTTTTTTTAATTGTGCTATCGCTAGAGGGACGATTTTAAAGTTTTACATATTGAGGTGGGCGAGTAGCCTCAAATGAAAGAAAGATTGATTCTGCCATGGAACCATTAATGTCCTCACATGAGAGCAAAAGGACAAAGTTAAGACACCTATATATTGTATATTTTAAGAATTTTCTTAAATTTTGTAAGTTTAAACTTATTTGTCCTGACAATTCAAATAAAAGCAATTTCTTATAATATATAGATAAAAATAAAAATAATAAAAAAATAGCAGCATCTGTTATATACAGTGGTACCTCAGGTTACAAACGCCCCAGCATACGAAATTTTCAGGATACGACATGAAATTCGAACATATTTTTGCTCCACGATATGAACAAAAACTCACCATACGACGTTACATTAGTTCGCATTTTTCGTTTGTTTTTCTTACTACAGTTATTTTTTTAAATGTATTACTTGGCTTTAATTTAAGTATGTTTTTTGCATTGGAACGAATTATTTGGTTTTACATGTAATCGTATGGGAAAAGATGATCCACCTTACGACATTTTCATGATACGATCTCAGTTTCGGAACGGATTAATTTCGTATCCTGAGGTACCACTGTATATAAAAAAAAGTGTTTAAAGCACATGCCATTATCATTTTGATGCCATGTTTGAGATAGGAAGGGTGATCATTTACAATGAGTATTACTGCAAAAATCTTTGCATATCTAATCACAACAGATGAAAGCACAAAATCAATTATGACTCTGAAGTGGCTATGTAAAAATAAGACTATTATTTTATCATTTATTTATTTATCATTGATACCAGTACATAGGAAAAGTCATGTAAGGACTACAGTTTTCCACCCCACAGATAACACACAAGCCTGAAACAATAAACAAGTAAATACAACATAAAAAAAGATAAGCATGGTATAAATTTCATTTACAAATATTTTTAAACTGACAGAAAGTAACATGTTAAAAAGAATCAAAATTAAACATACTTTGCAAAAATATGATAAAAATAAAAACACTGAGATTATTAATCTATAAAATGGCATAAAAATATATCAAGAATATCATAAATTTCTTTGGAGTATTCTTAAACAGAGCCAACTGGACTGTATAAAACCATTAAAATATTTGAATTATAAAAGCTAGTCAAAATATTTAATTCTTTAAAAGAAGGAAGACTCAGTCTAGACCTGACAACATTCAGAGATTAAGTGTAGGGAATGTTACAAAAATTTATTTAAAAGTAGATAAAATTTCCAAAAGAACTTGATAAAATATATTTAGAAGGGTGTGGGCTGCCATGGCCCAAGTTACAATGTCAAACTACTTACAATATGTATTCCTTTTTCAAACACTACAAAAATTATGGTATTATATGCTTAAAACACCCATTTTTTGTTTACTTTTTTGTAACTAAAAATAACAGCAAATTTAAAATTAACGAGTAAAACGACAAAACCATATTTGGGACAAGACTATGTTTTGGAGACAGAATCACTTTGATGCTCAAGGCAGGTCTCATTCTCGTTCTCCTATCTTCTTTGATATAGCTGCATTTGGGTGCAATCGTTCAAACTTTGCTGGCCATGACTACGAGATCATCCACGATGCATCTTCGATGAAATTAGCCTATCTAATTTCAAAATTTCTCTCCATTGCATGTCAGCCTGGGTTGAATTTTCGTCAATACGTAATGAAAAGTTCCAATTTTTGAAAAAATAATCGTGGCTATTGTATCGTCCGAGATTATTTTTTTATTTTGCACAAATAATATACAGTTTAACCTGATTATAATGTCATTGAATGTAACGACAACCCTAATATAACATCAAATTTTTATCAATCCTATGATTTTACTATACTAGATAATGTTAAAAAAAGCCCACTTGTAATGACATAAAACCGTTTTAACGTCATATTTGAAGCACTCCCAAATTTACAAAATTAGATTACAAATTTTATTTAACACAGAAGAAACTACATGTTCAGTCCTAAGGTCAGAGTTCACTTCTTAGAATGACTGCGGGTTGTACTCTCCCCTACCTGACTTCGGTGGGGTGAGGTGGCTGCTTTGCCTGTTTGTAGAAGAGGGTCGCCATTTTGTATTTTATTTTGACTCAATTCTCGGTCCCCTGACTACCTAAGACTCTGGATTTTTTTTATGCACAAATGATTTGAGCACCTAATACTCTGTGCCAAATATCAACTCTCGACACTTCATACCTCTATGCTGGTAAGAATATCGGGCAGTACTATTTTATAAACAAGACAATCTTGTCAAAAAGAAATCTAAAACAGTTAAAATCTATTTCAAACAGATCACCAAACAAAAAAGGCTTAACAAAAGATTTAACTTATAGTTGAATAAAATAGAAAAGTGATTTCAAAAACGAGAAATTATGATAAATTGCCAGAACCTAAAAATGTGCACAAGACAGTGGTCAACAACTAATGGTCCACAAGAAAATTTTAGTAGTCCATGTAGAAATTTGGACATTGATCAACTGAAGATTATGCATAGTATTACAAAAGAAATGCAAAATGCTTGGTTGCTTTTTCTCACTCGTCAGTTTTAAATTCAAATAAAAAAAAACCCAAATATAAAATGACTTAATAAATAAATCAACAATAAATAATGCTGCAAGTGTAATCGTCATGGTGGAAAAGAGCCAAGAATCCATAAACCTATTTCAAACAAGCAGTAACAAACTTCACACTAATTTGTTATAATAAAACAGTGAATTTCATATTAATAAAGTAAATACAACTTTTATGATAGTCGTTCTATAGATGTTTATATATCATTTTAAAAAATTCACAATAGCAGTCCACGGGATTCAAAATGGCGAGTTTAGCGATCTGCGTAAGGTTGGAATCCACCAGTATAAGATTTCCTCAATAAAATTAAAATTTACAGTTCAAAAATTAGGCTTTACTTTGAACATAAAAACCAGAGAAATTTCTAAAAACAAACAAAAATTTGCATTTCATGAAAACTATGATTCTTAAAATTCTATTTTTGAATTTTTAAAAAGTTAATTTTAATTACACTAATTTAATGATTATAATTGTAAAATAACAAATCATTCACATTGAAAAAAGAAAAACAAAAAAAATAAAAAATTTAGGCCTAGTTTAGGTTAAGCCAAAATGAGATTTAAATTTAGTTTTTTTAGTAAAATAAATGTACATATTTTGTTAATTATATAATAAAAATTGCTTATTTTTAATCATTCATTAAAATTTCATTAAAAAACAAATACAGTTTTTCAAAATTATATACAATTTTTAAATCAAATGGCTCCACACCTTCTATTTAAATACAACAGTTTTTTTTTTTTTAATTTGGTAATTGTTAAAATATTTATAGAGATTTAGCAAGAGTGATCATAATATAAGAATATAATAAATATATTATGTAAAATACATTAAATAAATATGTGTAAAATGTAAAATAAAACACATTTTAATGGTGTAGAAATGAGTGAATTAGTCCAAGTAAGTTAAATATTATCACCAATGCTCTCATTTCCCCCCTTTAGACATTGATACAATCTATATTTAGCCTTAAACAAACTTACTAAAGTTTTTTTTTAAAGCATTAACCTACCAATTACATCATTAAACATTAAAATTCGAAGAAAAAACAAGGCTTATCTGTGATCCAAACGTTAATTATAACAAATCTTTCTTATTATTTTTCATTAGGTTAAGCCTTATTAATGGTTTCGGACCGGCGAACTTTGAAATGTTTAAATTACACACGAAAGTGATCGATTTTATTGTTATTTACGCGTAATATGGCGCTATTACGTAAATTTTATTGTTATATTCGACTAGTTTAGTATATAATAAGAAATACCTTATCCCGTTGTCATGATACTTTTTTGTTTCCTTTTCTACTTCCAGCTGACATCCGGTCTAACATGGCGGTCGCGACAGAAGAACATCATCATCGCTCGTCACTTAGCAACGGGGACGCCATAGAAGCAACAAGGGTCGATTGCTCGTTTTATTCATAATAAATTAAGTATGCGGGTAATTAATACTAAATAGGATAACGTCTACACTAGCGTACTTTATGATCGGATCGCGTTTATTATTGATTTCTTTTCGTTGTACATTATTAATACATGCAAAAAATATTGTTTTTTTTTTAAATTATTTTTTTGTTTTTATAAATTTTAAAAATAGTTACGAGTCGCTTCTCGCTGTCACCGATGTCGTCGCTCGCCTTTTGTTTATGAACGTATTGTATCGAGCTTGGAATTAATTTTGAAAAATAAATAAATTTAATACGTTTAATTGAATTTTTCTTCTATGTCATTTAATTAATTTGAAAGTTTATGAAATTATTTACGTCATAAATTCGTAACTGCCATAATTTTAAAGTGCAGCCAGTTTGTTACACAAAAACGTCATTTATTTAAAAAAAAATTAACATTTTATATTATTCTTTAGTTATTTTACATAAAACTTAAACATCTTCATTTCAAAATGAATTGTTTTATTACATTTAAAAATAAATTTTAAAATAATAATATTGTAGGTCACGTGATAATAACGCTTTATCATGTATAACTATGATTTGTCTGATTATCTCTAAAACAGAACTCACACGTGAAGCACAATTGAGATTGTTATAATACTAATCCTACATTCAGAATTGAATATGGAACCAGAAGAAGAAGAATCTCTAAAACGTAATCGGAGACACGTTTATGGATTTAAAACGCCATTTTAGACAGTCGCGCTTCGAATGTATCCCTAGTTTATTACATTATTCGTACCAAATAAAACTTTCACATTATCAAATACTAAGATTTTAAAACAAAAGGTTTTGTTTTGCAGATTGTCTATAGTTCTCTGATTTTAATCTATTTAAACGATACGATATAAAGATACAGTAGCGCGTCGTTTATCCGAATCAATTGGGGACTGGGATTGTTCGGATAACTTATTTTTCGGATAACCGATCCTGTACGAAAAAATATTTATTAACTAACGTATCCCGTGTTGAAATTTTTCTCCGTTGCGTGTCGCTTCGTGTTGAATTTTCGTCGATGTTAAGCTTAATGTAAACTTTATAAAATAATAATCGTGGCTATTGTATCGTTAAAAATTATTTCTTTATTTTTTACAAACAAAATAAATATATTGAAAAATATAAAAACAANTACAGTTTTTCAAAATTATATACAATTTTTAAATCAAATGGCTCCACACCTTCTATTTAAATACAACAGTTTTTTTTTTTTTAATTTGGTAATTGTTAAAATATTTATAGAGATTTAGCAAGAGTGATCATAATATAAGAATATAATAAATATATTATGTAAAATACATTAAATAAATATGTGTAAAATGTAAAATAAAACACATTTTAATGGTGTAGAAATGAGTGAATTAGTCCAAGTAAGTTAAATATTATCACCAATGCTCTCATTTCCCCCCTTTAGACATTGATACAATCTATATTTAGCCTTAAACAAACTTACTAAAGTTTTTTTTTAAAGCATTAACCTACCAATTACATCATTAAACATTAAAATTCGAAGAAAAAACAAGGCTTATCTGTGATCCAAACGTTAATTATAACAAATCTTTCTTATTATTTTTCATTAGGTTAAGCCTTATTAATGGTTTCGGACCGGCGAACTTTGAAATGTTTAAATTACACACGAAAGTGATCGATTTTATTGTTATTTACGCGTAATATGGCGCTATTACGTAAATTTTATTGTTATATTCGACTAGTTTAGTATATAATAAGAAATACCTTATCCCGTTGTCATGATACTTTTTTGTTTCCTTTTCTACTTCCAGCTGACATCCGGTCTAACATGGCGGTCGCGACAGAAGAACATCATCATCGCTCGTCACTTAGCAACGGGGACGCCATAGAAGCAACAAGGGTCGATTGCTCGTTTTATTCATAATAAATTAAGTATGCGGGTAATTAATACTAAATAGGATAACGTCTACACTAGCGTACTTTATGATCGGATCGCGTTTATTATTGATTTCTTTTCGTTGTACATTATTAATACATGCAAAAAATATTGTTTTTTTTTAAATTATTTTTTTGTTTTTATAAATTTTAAAAATAGTTACGAGTCGCTTCTCGCTGTCACCGATGTCGTCGCTCGCCTTTTGTTTATGAACGTATTGTATCGAGCTTGGAATTAATTTTGAAAAATAAATAAATTTAATACGTTTAATTGAATTTTTCTTCTATGTCATTTAATTAATTTGAAAGTTTATGAAATTATTTACGTCATAAATTCGTAACTGCCATAATTTTAAAGTGCAGCCAGTTTGTTACACAAAAACGTCATTTATTTAAAAAAAAATTAACATTTTATATTATTCTTTAGTTATTTTACATAAAACTTAAACATCTTCATTTCAAAATGAATTGTTTTATTACATTTAAAAATAAATTTTAAAATAATAATATTGTAGGTCACGTGATAATAACGCTTTATCATGTATAACTATGATTTGTCTGATTATCTCTAAAACAGAACTCACACGTGAAGCACAATTGAGATTGTTATAATACTAATCCTACATTCAGAATTGAATATGGAACCAGAAGAAGAAGAATCTCTAAAACGTAATCGGAGACACGTTTATGGATTTAAAACGCCATTTTAGACAGTCGCGCTTCGAATGTATCCCTAGTTTATTACATTATTCGTACCAAATAAAACTTTCACATTATCAAATACTAAGATTTTAAAACAAAAGGTTTTGTTTTGCAGATTGTCTATAGTTCTCTGATTTTAATCTATTTAAACGATACGATATAAAGATACAGTAGCGCGTCGTTTATCCGAATCAATTGGGGACTGGGATTGTTCGGATAACTTATTTTTCGGATAACCGATCCTGTACGAAAAAATATTTATTAACTAACGTATCCCGTGTTGAAATTTTTCTCCGTTGCGTGTCGCTTCGTGTTGAATTTTCGTCGATGTTAAGCTTAATGTAAACTTTATAAAATAATAATCGTGGCTATTGTATCGTTAAAAATTATTTCTTTATTTTTTACAAACAAAATAAATATATTGAAAAATATAAAAACAAAAAAATTACAGTTTAGAAATTAATCTAATATCAAAAACGTTCGATTCAGCATGACACACAAAATTGCCAGTGCTGCCAGCTAAAACACACACATCAAAAAAATATTGGAGTAGCCCAAGATATAGCCAAAGATTGCAGCGCCACAGCACTAGCGAAAATTTAAATTTGTCGACTGGAATTCTTCCGACTGGAATTCGGATAAACGACGCTCTACTGTATAATACAGCGTGTTTCAATAAGATTTGACTTCTCAAAATTTTTCTTCGGCAATTATAAGAGTTGGTAACATAAAACTTGCAATACAGGAAAGAAAAATTCTCAGTTTTTGCAGTATACACCGTTTCAATATACGCATTACCTTATTTATTTTTTTCGCCCATTTTCAGTCCTAATGTGAAAATTCGACCAAGTCTACCATGGCACGGCCGGATGATCAGAGGTCGCAACTGGGACAGACCGCCCATAAAAAATTCTTGGGATATTTCGATCGCCCAGATTCGATCTCACCAAAGCGGTATACTGACGCCTTAACCGCTTCGGCCACCCGCCCGGCCTCTAAGCGCACCTCTGGTTACATGGAAAACGTCTAACTGATAATACCAAACACGAAACACCATATTCCATGCGGCAGTAGACAATGCCTCATTTATTGGAATCTTCAGTTCAGTCAAATCAGGAGGCAGTGGTGGTAAAACACAAGGCCTTTCACGTAGCTCAAAAGAAGAAATTCAGAAGACGCAAGATCTGGAGATATAGGGAGCCAACGTAGGAGAGCCATTATTTCTGGCACGGCCAATACATCTTCCTGTAAGAATGTCATTAAGATTAGCTCGAACCCCAACTACATCATACCTGCATATGCTCCATCTTGCTGAAAAATAGTCCACAAACTCCGCCTCTTGAAGCTGAAGCATCAGTCACGTCTGTTGTATTTCTAGTTATGTTATTCCAGTGACGATGTCCTTCGCAAAGAAAAAACGATACCCGGATCTCATAAAAAGCAAATTTATCTTGCGAAACTTTGGTATCAGCTCAATTCTCTGGTGATCAATCACCATGTCGTTCCTAATAATTTGTTGTCCTATAATAAATTGATAATAAACGAGCAATTATTTATTCTTACATCGTCACAATGGCAACCTGCAATTTTTCTTCACAATGCTTTCAAGTTTCTCGGCCCTGTAAATCATGTTTCACGTTAATAATAGTCATGCCAATCATCTAACTTCCTTCAGGAGAAAATTTTAAAATAACACGACTTCCGATTTGGAAGTTCGTATATAGTTAATCGGGCATCCTGCTCCTAAACTTTCCATATCTGGTCTCGACTTTCATCTATTTCACTCCGCTCTCGAGATTAAGAATAGATAGATACCAGAGAAAATTTATAAATCTAGTTTTTGAAAATTACAGCTCAATAACCCATTTGTCAGTTCGAAAAAATAGCTTCAAAAGAGGACATATTAAGAAAACGCGTTGTATATTTGCATGTCGGAGAAAGAAAAATAGTGGCTCCTACTTTTCTTTCTCCGGCATGCAAATTTTAGAAAACGTAATTTACTACGTGAGCAATGAATATAAAGCACCTCCCGAAGTGCAATGTAAATTTTCTTCTTAAAGCAAAAAAAAAGTCATGCTGTTCAGTACGTTGTCATTTTACCAGCAAGTGTTTCGAAACCATTTTTACTTTACGGTTGTTATATATGACAGAGGAAAAATATGGCGATAGAAAAATGACTCCCCAAGTTTTTTAATTTTTGGGCTTAGAACACCTTGAAACGTCAAAAACAAATTCGAGAATAATTTCTATCAATATATGGGCCCACCAGTGGCCAAGTGGTCTTCATACCCTGAACACTGGGAGTTCGGTCGTGTGGGTTCGCGTCTCGCTCGGACAGGCTGGCCACGTGGAGTTTTCCGGATTTTCTCCACGTCTGTAACGCCTAAATAGGGGCCAGTTTCCCTTAAAAGACCTCCCGGAAGGCATCCCCCTAGACAGATCGCCCAAGTGTCGTGTTGCCATTACTTAACAATTTCTGTATGTATGGATGTTACTTTGTGGGGAGGCACGATTTTGTTCACCCTTTTTAAAGCTCCTGTGCTTTTTGTCGAAAATTTTGAAATTTTGCAAGGAGGT